TGAGAGAGAGACTGTGAGAGAGAGACACAGAGAGAGAGCGGGCGGCTGTGCATGGGGGAGCCGCCGCCGCCAGAAGCAGCCCCGTCGTCCCACGGCTCGCCCGCGCCGCCGTGACCCGCCCAGGCCACCTCCTCCTCCTCACAATCGCGCCCTCCTGCTCCTGGCCGTGGAAGGGGGCTCCGCGGCCAGGAACAGGAGGCCGCGATTGCAAGGAGGAGGAGGCGGCCTGGGCGGGTCACGGCGGCGCAGGCGAGCCGCGGAACAGCGGAGCTGCTTCTGGCGGCGGCGGCTTCCTCCACGCTCAGCCGCCCGCTTGCTGCACAGAGCGTGATGGGAAAGGCGAAGCTGGGAGGCGGCTGGGAAACCTGCTCGCTCATCCGCGCCCAACGCAGCACGCCCCGCCTCCTCCCCACAGCCGGCGGCGACCTCCAGCGGGCACCAGCAGGGAGCTCCAGGCCCCGCCCTCCCGCACCTCACCCGGGGGGATGGCGTCCCCCCGTGTCCTCCCCAAATGACCCCTGCTCACCCCTATTTTCTTTCTTACTCAAAATGTTTACCCCACTATATGTACTATCTTGCCATCCCATGTTATTACAGAATTTTTTTGTTTGCAAGAATGAACATTATACCTAAAATGGTTTTGGAGGGGAGGTTTTTGAATAGGCCCTACACTGACAGTATTTGCCCCTGTGAACTTAATAGGATTTGCCCTGCTGGAATGCAGATTTTTTTAGATTATGAGGGATTACTATGTTAAACTTTTATTCAACCAATCGCCCCCCTATATTCCAGAAACTCTGGCTCTTTTGCTCAGTGCTAAGGATCCTAAGGTCACTCAAGCACTTACAAAATTTGTCTCATTCCTTTTAGCCCTTGCATCTAAGTGTCTTCTGCTGCTCAAGATTCGTGAATGAATGAGCTTCTAAAGATACAAAAGGAAAGGAAAGCATACATTATCTTTTTTACTGAAATAATACAACACATACTTACCATCCTCGTTCCCAGGTTCTTCATCTGCCACTTCTTCTAATTCAACTGTTTTTAGTTTGACTTCTGGATGGTATTCATCTTCTTGATCATTGGACAGAAAAGTAGAGGTTACATTTTCTTCTTTTTTCTTTCTTTCTGCTTCTCGTTCCAATTCCTCTATTTCCTGCAAACGCTTTTCTAGTAGCTCAGCCTGCCTCTTTTGCTTTTTTTTCAGTTTCTTCTTTTTGTTTTTAGATATCTTTCCAACCTAAAAAATGTAACCAAGTTACAATTAATATTTCTTGCAATAGCTGAATGTGAAGGTTATTTTATTTTTAATGGACACCTGTAAACAGTATAATGCTATGGAATTGCTGTTCTGTATAATTCTAAAACCAAGAGAATTTAAAGGAAGAAAGCTAGAATTACTTTACAAAAACAGCTAAAAGGGACATGGATATATAGAATGATAAACTCCTTATTGCTCGCTATATAAAAGCTTTGCAATTACAATAAACCTAACCTTCAGGCTGTCAATTGCTAATCTTTACTTGTGTGAGAAAGTCTAATGCTTCAAATTATCCATTTGTTTCTTAGCATTTCAGTTCAATATATAGGACTGGATCCTACCACATTATTCAAATAAGTCTTTCTTTAATGGAGAAAGACTTCTTCCAATGGAGAAAGATTTTTTTTCCATTTGAGGAAAACTTGGTGAAAGGAAATCATAGGATCTAACACATTTTACTGGCTAGCAACAGGCAATGAGGTCAAATTTAATGTTTTGTTTTTCAAATCAACTACAAATTATTGGGAGCTACAGCTTCATCAAAGTACACTTTAACTGGAAAAAGGGCTACAACACACTTTTACTTTTTGAGTGTAAGCCATTTTTGAGGCTCTCTATTGAGGCAGGAGGAAAGTATTTTAAATAAATTAGTTTAATTATTTGTCCTATCAGGAGTGAAAAAACACCAACAGTGATACATAAAAGGAAGTTTTATATCAGAAGAAAAATGAAGTTTTATTGTATACTTCCAGGTTACTTGTATTTGGTAGTATATGTAACTGTATATTACAACTGTGGCTGCAGTCCTTCACACAAGTTGCAGAAATCCCACAAATCATTGACTGAGACTAAAAGCTGCACAGGTTAATACAAGGGCTTACAGTAGCCTAATAGAGTTTTTTTCCCCTATTTGAACATCTGACCTACATGCCATAAGACAAATTACTTATAAAATACCTCTCCACTTCGAAAGCATGGAGATGCTGCTGTTTGAGAAAAGTAAGTTTAATAGAATTTTTCCAAGTCCTGGATCCAAACAGCCTGACAACATACAGCATCACAGCCTATATGGCAAGCAATAAGTAGGCTACTGGAAATAGGAACAAAACACTAAAATGTCTGGACGCAACAATTCCTCCATTCTATGGCAAAATAAACACACAATAAGATTTCTGACTTGAAGACAATGGAACTATATGTAATGCCAGGACATAAACTGCATGATCTTGCAAGGTTGGTTTCTAATAAAGTTAAACGTGGTCATTCCTTGACCTCTGTATTGAAGCTATTATTGTTGTAGAGCTAGTACAAGATTTATGTAAAAGTGCTATGTTTAACTGTCACAATGAATTGGCTACTAAAAATCCATTAGTATATCATTCATCACATAAGCCTATCTGTATGATTTATCTATAGATGCGCGCAAACAAGCTAGGATCTATTGATTTACTCATAAAGTATCAAAACATACTTCTTCAATAGACAGAAAACGGAAATTTGACAAACATATAGACCAAAAAACATGATTGGGCTTACTTGTAACTGCTGTTCATCAACGTCTTCTGTGCAGACACACATTGGGACCGTGGGTGTGCAGGCTGGCCACGGACAGAGTTTTTTCCTAGCTTTAAGGAACCAAAGGGAGGGTGCTCCTCCCCTCTGGAGCTGACACAACAGCATTTCCCCACCTAAACCATCACATGCTCTGGAGGAGAGCGCCCCCTTAGCCCTCAGTTCTGCCTGGCTTCTGTGAACTCCCAGAGCTCACAGCGGGGCAGGAGGGAAGGAATGTGTGTCTGCACAGAAGACGTCAATGAAAAACAGTTACAGGTAAGTGCAACCATGTTTTCATCTTCCATCTTCAGTGCAGCCCCACATTGGGATTTAGTCAGCTACTCACCAGGAAGGAGGAGTGGTGATGCTCTCATTGAAACAGTACTTGAAGAACCCCCTTGCCAACTTCTGCATCCTTCCTTGATTGCAGATCCAGTGCATAATGCTTGACGAACGTGTCCTCAGCTGACCATATTGTGACCATACAGCTCTCAATGAGCAGTACCTGTGGTGGAAAGCAGACAAGGACGCTTGCGCCCTGGTGGAATGGGCCTTAATATTGAGGGGGCAGGGATTACTGGAGGCTTCATAAGACGATAAAATGGCAGCTACAACCCACCTAGATATGGACTGAGAGAAGGCTGATTTCCCCTTCTTTGGATCCAAATAACAGATAAGTTTTGTTAAATTCGAAAAGGTTTCATCCTGTCAATATATTATATCAGGGCCTTTGGTGAAGGTTTTTTATGGCCACTGTCCAAACTGTCTCCTACTTGGAGAGCTTTGTGGCCTCAGACAGGATCAGTTTATCCAGGGAACAAGGTTCCTCAGAGAGGGTGTCAAGATACTGTGACAGTTTCTCCCACAGGAAGAGCTGGTAGTCCCCCATAATGGCTTGGTAGTTCAAAATCCTGAAGTTTAAGGCTGCTGAATAATATATTTTGTGACCCAGTGAGTCCAGATGCCAACTCTCCCTATCAGCTGGAGATGAATGCTGACCTTGCCTCTGGCATGTCTGCATCTCCTTGGTGACAAGGAAAAAAGGTGTTGGGTGGGAGAACAGAAAATCACAGGAATCCTGCTTTGATCTTGTAAAGATTTTCCACTCTGCGGGAGGACACCTGTGTGGATGCCAGTTTCTGCCAAACTGGGGCAGTTAGATCAGCAAAGCCCTTTAAGACCAGGAAGGCCATGATGGCTAGGGAGTCTGGGTAAAGACAATTCTGGATTTTATCTTTTGGTTTGTTATCAGTTGTGGTGACATCAATGTCCAATGCCTTTGCCATTCTCAACATTTGCTTGCCATATAGGCAACAATCCTTGTTTGGGTAGATGAAGTTAGGGTCACCAATCCTGTCATATGGAGAAGGTTCTGAATGACTTTCACAACTGAAGTATGATACCACAGCACCCTACTCTTCAGATTCAGAGTCAGAAGACACCAAAGGCATTAGAGGGATATGGGCTTCATGATGTCTTAATTGGTTACCCAAATAACTGTATCCCAGAATGGGTGGTCCCAGATGAGGATGTTGTGTGTAAAAATTAGGCCACTGCTGGAGATAAGCCGGGGATATGTAGTAGAGATGCCACTGGGGAGGTGGACAGGGCTACAGCCATGGGGCGGGCATGGTAGGTTCCGAATGGAGTGTCAGATGGTCCTTATTCTCACCCTGCTCCATCTCACCCTTAGTGAGTGACCTGTCTGGAGAGTTGAGGTGTGGTGATGGGGTGCGGGGCGACACCAAAATAACATCTGGTTCCTGGGAAGAAGACATAGGTGGGGAAGACAGTAGTTTCTGATGTTTAGTAGGAGCAGCTGTCCTTTCCTTGTGTTTACTTCAACTTCTTCGCTGGCGGTTCTGAGGAACTGCAGCCTGAAACCAAGGAAGTCACGGCTGATGAGTCTGGGCGTGTCAGTACCAAAGATGCAGCTGTAGACACAGATCTCTCTGGATGTGATTGATGATTTTCAGCTACTGGAACCATCAGAACCTAGCATATTGATGGGGGCTGGAACAGGGTTCCTGTACTGGAACCAATGGGACTGACCGAACCAATGAGGGTACTTTAGGCTGATCCAGTCTCTGAACTAACTTGGACAGTTCTGATGAGGTGTGGGTCTTCTCCCAAAGAGCTGCCTTAACAGAGAATGCTCTGTCAGAACGCACCTTCAGAGAAGAGGCCTGGCAGATCTTGGACGTGGCCACATTATGAGACTCCCCCAAGCACATGAGACATAAGTCATGTTCATCACTATGGGTCAATTTTGTTGAACACTGAGTGCATTTTTTAAAGAGTGCCTTGGTAGATATCATAGGCCTGTAAGGAAAGCTCCACAGTCAGGAGAGACCACTGAGCAGAGGCTTGAAGGGAGGGGGGTAGGTCAGCAAAAGCCACCTCACCCTGCCAGTGAAGAAGGCACTTTGGAGATCAAGCCCCAGGAGCTTGGGAACCTGCTTGGAGGTCTTGCGCTGAAATATCCAGAAAACAAGCAGAAATGATGACTAATATGAAGAATGGAGACTAGTAAACAGAGCAAAAGCTTGAACAATCCTATCCATGTGGTGACAGAAAAGGAACGAAAAGCTAGAGGGGCGCTCTCCTCCAGAGCATGTGATGGTTTAGGCAGGGAAATGCTGTTGCATTACCTCTGGAAGGGAAGAGCGCCCTCCCTCCTTTGGTTCCTTAAAGCTAGAAAAAAATTATGTCTGTGGCTGGACTGTGCAGGTGCAGTACCAACGTAAGTCTGCACTAAAGATGGAAGATGAATATCCTTTCCAGTTGCTAGAAAAAATGAGTATTTTTAATAGTTCTCATCCTAGGCATCTAACAAGAAATGTCCTTCATAAGCAGCAGAGAACAAGCCAAAGCCAGGGCATGACACTGGTAGAAAAGAGGGGCAGGGGGAGTTTGCATTTCACATACTTCAACAATTCCTTAGAGTGGGGAAAAGGAAAATTCTAAGAACACCCAGGAATATGTTTATGTTTGATAAATTGTATTTAATAGTTTTACTACGACTGGTACACATTCTGGAGAAAGAAATAATGCACAATTTTAGACAAAATATTGTATTTACAAAACCTGCGGTTTGATGAGAATCTGTTATGCAATTTGAAACGTTATCAATTTAACTTGCAATCAACCAATGACAACAAGCACACCCAATAAAAACAGCAAAGGAATACTCACCGGTTTTTGTTGCGGGGCAGTACTCACTGGAGGGGGAAAAAACACACCTGGTGTCAAATCCATAAGGTAGTGAGTGTACAGTGTATACAATTAGAAAAACATAAAAGGAAATCTGCTAATACAAAGGCTGGTGGCCAAATCTCCCCCATTTTGCCCAATCTCCCACAGTGTAAACAGTCTACTCAAAGAAGACAAATATGAGATCTACAAAACTGATTAGAGGAAGGAAGGAATGTTCCTTCTGACTCTGGAAGGATTCTTACTCTGGAAGGAGCTGGGAGAAGAAAAGTCAAACACACCTTGAGCCTCACAAACACACCTAAAGCCTCACAAGAGCTCTTTTATACAGACACAGAGAAGAAAGGGAAACTGTTGCAATGAGCTTTAAGCTGGCACTTTGCCGGCTTCAGTCTATTACCGCCCTCCATTTTGGATATGTGACTCCAAGTCTTATGCCATACTCAGAGTCTTGCAGGCCTAGTTTTGTGCTATTCGCAGAATTACAGGAAGTAAGCCAGCAGGAGAACAGATAGCAGCAGAATGTCCAGCCTACTTGCATTACAGACATGATGGTAAATGGCCATCCTGTGAGGCATGCCACAAGTTCATTGTCCCCAATACAATGGAAGTCCCTAGAGGAATCTGACTCTACCACACATTAGAGGCTCTTACAACTATTTTTCAAGGTATTTCAGTTCAGTCTACATGTTCACGGGCACATTTTTTTGTAATGAAAAAGATCCCAGGGACCTTGGGTTTTTTTATTAAGTACTGTGTTTTGTTTTTAACATTCACCTCCTCCTTGATATTATTCTGACTCCAGAAGTGTATTTTATTCTATTCAAATAAAGCACCTGTTTTTCTACTTTATCCATATCTCAAGTTTTATTTCCAACTTTGCTCCGGTGCCCTGTATCTTTGGAACAGATCACTAAAACAGAGTGTTGTCATTTAAGTCCAAATTTGGACATGTTTCCCCTCTAGCTCTCTTGACTATTTTGGTGCAAATCTTGGTCCAGTTTGGGAGGTTGGTTCATTCACGCAGAATGTGTGTGTCAAATACAAGTGTACAAGCCACATGGGGAAAACATGCAAATTATGCAAACATGCAAATTTTGTGTAAACTTTCCATCATGTTAGCACATAAGCACTCCATCTCCTTGATCATCCACTTCTGGTGGTGGTGGAGGAAAGTGCCATCAAGTCACAGCTGAGTTACAGCAACCTGGTAGGGTTTTCAAGGCAAGAGATATTCAGAGGCGGTTTGCCATAGCCTTCCTCCACATCACAACCCTGGTATTTCTTGATGGTCTCCTATCCAAATACTAGCCAGGGCTGACCCTGCTTAGCTTCTGAGATCTAACAAGATTGGGCTAGCCTGGGCTATCCAGATCAGGGTCCACTTCTATTAGTTATATTTTACAAGATACTGATTAAATCTAATGCTAACAAAGACTAATATAAAACAAATGGAAAGGAAAAGACTATTAAGCCAACACCAAGGATAAAGAACTATATTATTAAGGCATTCGCCATACAAACCAGTTGGAACTCACTATTGGTGACTTTAGTATTGTAACTGTGCAACAAAGGCACATTTGAGGGAAAAGTGCATATGGCCATTGCACTTAGAATATTACAATGCACATGCAATTTCTTATACAAATACTATCTCCATGTAATAAAATCAGGGTGAATTCCAGACTTTGGGGGTGTTCTTCAGACGATGCCAACAGATGGGCACTGTCCCCACAGAAGGCAGGCCCCAAGCTAAGGAAGCAGTAGTGCAGTCACTGCCTAGCTGCCACTGCCGTTGCACCACTTGACCTAGGAAAAGCAGCTGCCACTAATGTTGCTCATTCACTTCCTTTTTCAGGCAGAGGGGTTAGGCAGTGCCAGCTCCTGGCTCCAACAACAACAAGCTGCAGTTATTTCCTTCCTCTGCTTCCCAGAGCAGTGACAGGAGAAATCTTATTGAGATTGCCACTGCCAGAGTAGTGTGACTACATATACCTAGCGCTAAAGGATGTCTTGATCTGCCTCTTTCTACTCTGGGGATCACAGGAAGGTAGCAGCAGCTGCTTGTTACCAGTGAAGCTGAGCACTAGAGCTGTACACTCCCTCGCGGTGGCAAAATTGCTGCTCACTTGTTCACCTAGGGCTTTTCTGCACAAGGGCTCTTGTTCTGTGCTTTCTTAGCTGTTGATCTGATAGCAGCATAATCACATCAAGCTTTCAGCTGCCACATGAGCTTATTTTCCTATAGGTATGTCTCAATTCAATTGGGGTTTCAGAGAGAGGGTGCTGTCACCACCAGTAATGGCACAGCACCACCCCTTTTTTCTTTCCTTTTTTAAAAATGCACATGCTAGAAGGGGGTATAGGTATATGAGAATCACCATATGGCCCCTTTGGATATATGTTCTCCATTCTAAGGTTCACCCCAATATTTTCGAGCTGCAAAATGGTCTCTAAATGTTTTCCTGTTGCCAAATGGCAGGCAAATGGAGAGAAGTCAACTGCTCATCCATTCAGTCAATGGCTGGAACATAATGTTGTCATGTAATTGTCTCTGTCAGGCCAAGGACAATGAAATAGGGCAGCAGGGCAGCTCTGAGACAGTCCCCACCAGAATCAAGAGTGATAACAAATATCTCCCAAAGCCCATAAAATATTAAATTCCCATGAAAAATAAACCCAGTAAGAGGGGGACAATGCTGGATATCAAGGCATATATGTGTCTTACAGAGAGATATTGCCGTCTGAGTGCACGTTTTTAAAAATCAAAGACTTGTCTATGAAAGTAAAAAGAAAAAAGGAGGGGGGGGGGGGGAGTGAGGTTATATAAACAGAGCCAAGAATGACGACTGAATGGCCAGGAAGAGCAATGAGAGCTCCTGTACCTTCAGAAAGTGCAAGGAAGCAAACGGCCATTGTAAAAAAATATTTCAGGGCAGAGAAAGAACATTGCAAGCATGTGGGAAGAGCACTCATTACTCCTGTGCCTTGTTATACAGATATATCAATTTCAGACAAGTGTTTTAAAACTAATTAACAGAAAATTTACCAATACAAGGGACAAAATTGCCTTATTACCGAGGCAGGAAAAGAGAACACAGGACAGTGGTACCCCATGGACTTGAGCCAGTCCACAGAAAGTGGGTGGGAAGTGGGAGGAACCAACAAAAGAGCAGGAAATATTACACATGTGAACAACCACGACTCAGAATTATTATTTTTTTTTTAAAGACTGGCATAAAAGTGCTCCCTGGGGGGGGGGGGGGGGGAGGGGGATGTGAGACAAAAACTAATGTCTGAAGAGAACGTGTAGAGGCCAGAGGATAAACCAAAGCAGTCTGGGGCTGGAACAGATGCAATAACACCATGCTGAAATGCCTCAGAGGACAAGAGGCAGACCAGCAAGAGCAGACAGAAACAGCTGCACTATTGCTACCTCATGTACCTCACACCTGACTTCCAGGGGCTGGGCACAGAAAGAGGAAATTTGCCTCTCTCCTCTTGGATCTGCACACACAGTGGCAAATGGATTCTCCTCTTCCTCCTCCTGCCACAAAGCAGAGAGGGAAAGCAGCAGCTATAGCTCACCACTGATGGATGCAGAGCGGCAGCTCAGAAACTGGCAGTGGGCCCAGCCAGTGGTGGGCTCTTCTGGTGTCCCGAGGCCCCCAGCAGCTGCCCAACATCCTGATAATGGCATGAAGAAAAAACATTACATTAAGCAGGAGGAGTTTGTGTGTTTCATAGTCTAAGGGGACTTAAATGGCCATAGAGGTTAGCCTCAACCTGAGGAAGAACTTTCTGCTATATAAAATTATACTGAATGATCTTCTGAATACTACAGTGAAGAAAGAAAGAAGAAAACATAGTATACTTGATTCAGTTCAAGGGAAATTTCAATAACATGTTAATGTATTCTAACATTTAGCAAAGCAAATTATTTAATTAATGGGTTCCAATGATGAAAGACAACTGGGTGGATTCTGCCCTTATCATTCTACCCCACTGAGCAAATTTTGAATCCTTCCTTCAGCCTAAAGAGCCTTAAAGTGGCTCTTCCATTGGAAGAAGAGCCACTTAAGCTGGAGAAGCCTCCTTAGGCTAGAATCTACAGAGGATGGCTGGATCCAATCCAATAGAAGTTAAAAAAACAATCTGTTACTTAGCCACACGTGGCAATACCAGTGTGATGTTCTACATACCTGCACACAATTCTGTGTGCAGGAGAAAGTGGACTTCTAGGACAGGAATCCCCTGATACATAAAGAACTGGATGAAAGAAGAGTCTAGATGTTTTAACCATAGCATCGTTATGTTACAGTGAGAACCCTCAAACCATTTGAATTTAAAACTGAAAAAACATCTCGACAATAGTTTAATATAATGCCAGCAGTTGTGAATGCGGCACAACGGCAGGGAGTGAGTGTGACTAAAATCTAGTTTGGCTCCTGAAAAGGTAGATGTATGTGACGAAGAGATTCACAGACTTCAGACTGCTGTCTTAGGATAAAATAAATACTCCTAATGCATTATTAACACGTTAATATTTTATACATTCAAATTAGCCATGCTGAAATCTATAAATCCAATTAACTAAAATCAATTAAATGTTACTGCAGCTAGTACTGTAACTTTGTTGCACTTACTGAATGTTTAAATTACAACCATACCTGCTGAGCCAGAAGGAGGAGGAGCACCAGCCTTCTGCCACTCTGTAGCTTCTGCAGCCATTCGGCGCACGTAGGTGTCATCCACACACATCAAAATGTTCTCTGGTTTGATGTCTGTATGGATAATCTTGCACTTGCTGTGTAGATAGTCTAAACCTTGCAACACCTAATTACAAAAATAATAACAAGAACATAATCAAAACTGAAATCTTTTTACTAGTTTTGAGATCTTAAATATCACTCAAAACCGATAAACAGAAATTGATTTCCCTGGGTCGTCATTTTTAAAAACAACAACAACAGAATGCCTTCTGCTGCTAAAGTATGAAATGTGCTGAAATCCAGACACTATTTATTTATTTTAAAATCTAGTCTGCATTTTAACAAAATATTTCTAAGGTGGGGAGCAACATATAAAGCAAACAATAAAGACTATCAGAGAAGTTTAAACAACAGTAACATGGAATCACACATATCAGTTCTAAATATTTTAATCAAAATAAAACCCCAATTTGATTGATTATAAGGGCCAAACCAGCAATGTTTACTCACCTACTGGTTTGGCTTGCACTCTGTTTACAGGTAGCAAACAAAGGAGCCAAGCATTTCGTTGAGTGGCATGGGGACATTCTTCACACACACAAAATTGACTGCAAATACATTACTCAATACAAATATAATATACACAGTAATTCTATATTGTTTTACCTTAGCTACCTGCAACTGAGTTTGCCATTACTACTTCCAGTGATTAAAAAGGAACATTCTTAAAAGAAAAAAGAACACCCTTTGACATTTTGACATGAAACTTGCTACTAGTGATTTTTTTTGTTTTTTATGACAGTATGAAACAGTGTCTGTCAACAGCTGGCAACTTCCAGATCTGTATAAATTTGTGCATTAGTAACCTTATAGTCACACACACACTCAGGTCTGCAGCAAATAAACTTCCACATTACTAAAGGAGATGCAATTCAGTGTTTGCTGCAACATACTACTCCTGGTACACATTTCCCAGCTAAAAGCTAAAGCGAAGGAAGCTGAATTGTCCTGAGGGGATAAATTAACACATGAGACTTCTAGAACTGTCTTGTGAGATATTTGATATCTGACTGCACCGGTGCAAAGAGGGGGCAAAATGATGAGTTAATAATTTGCTCAACAAGAGGTCATTAATCACCTGACCGTAATCCTGGAGAATACATGCCTTTTCCTCCAATGATTGAGAAGATTTCATTCACAAACTGTGAAAGTGCCAAAGTGGCTGCAAGGTGCAACATACAAATTACAGCTGTAATTTAAGCGTACCAAGGCACAACTGCACTATGACCCTGGAACACAAGTTGTTCAGCCAAGAGTCAAATCAAGGGGACCCAGTGAGGGGGCTCAACTTGAATATGAACTAGGAGTATGATAAACATAAGAACATAAACCCTGTTGGATCAGACCAGTGGTCAATCTAGTCCAGCATCCGGTCTCGCACAGTGGTCAACCAGTTCCTCTGAAGAGCTAACAACAGGGCATAGAAGTCAAGGCCTTCCCCTGATGTTGCCTCCTAGCAGTGGTATGCAGAGGTTTACTGAGTCTGAATGCGGGGGTTCTCTTTAGTCACTATGGCTAGTAGCCACTGATGGACCTATCCGCCATGAATCTGTCCAATCCCCCTTTACAGTTATCTGTGATTTTGGCCATCACAGCAGTGAATTCCAAATTCAACTGTTGAAGCTGCAAGAGAGTACCAGTCTGAGTGGAGAAACGGTGGTGGGGGGGGAATGCCCACATACTTTGCCATTTGTCTATGCAAAATCACCCTCCCCAAGTTTTATTTCTCCCTGTGACAGAAGATATGGGGATCTTTTTCACCTACACGTGGAACAGCAGAAGGGGAAACAATTTTGAACAAATAAACAGCAAAACGGGAAAATGTTAAGCAGTTCCTCCTCTGCTCCCAGTAGCAACTTCTGTGACTGTTTTTCAATTTTTAAAATGTCAGGAAAACATTCACATCTGTAAGCCCCAATAACCTAAGGAACATACAACTAAGCATACATAAATTGTACCCATAGTTTTGCAATGCTACCACAAGACCAAAACCTTTGTTAAGAAAAGAGAAGTTTATTAATGTATGGAAATACAGATTTAAGTTACTAAGGCTGAACAATGATCAAGTATCTAGAGAGAAACAGTTGTAATGTAAATGATAATGTTTGTAAAGCATCTAAGCATCTAACAGCAAATTGTGCAACATTATAAGGCCATTCCATTAAGGGAACGCATAGCTTTTGCAAATAGAAAAACAACTCATTGCTTTAGCAAGTAGGAAGACAAGATTGCATGACCATGGCCCCGGTCACACGGGCAGGAAACTGCAGAGGAGAAGCGTGGCTGTTTGCCCTGGGGCAAACTACTGCGCAGTTACGTGATCAGACCTCCTGTGGAGGTACCGTGGAGGTTCCGTGGAGGTTCCATGGCAAGGGAGAGGTGTCGATCACAGGACAAGCCGGCGCACAACGAAGAAGCGCACGCCGCGGCGAACTGTTTTTTATTTTTGTGTACATGACAAATGCGCATGCTCCGTTGGGTGCGCATGCGCATCCACAGAGACTTGGACAAAAAAAAACACCTTATTTGCAAGGGGACATGGGCGGGCGCCGGATGCCACCGGAAACGCGATCAGACGCCCGCCCTTGCCCCGCAGTTTCCGGAAACTAGTACCTCCAAGGTACTAGTTTTTTGCCACGCAGTTTCGGCTGGAAACCTCGGTTGAGCCACGGGAGTGCTACGCTTCCCAGATGTGCTGGTGAGATCGCGCCCGGAAACTCCGGCTGTTTTCCGTCTCACTTGTGTGGCTTCTGTTACGTGTGACCGCAGCCTTAATTAGGCATTGCTAGGCCCGTTACTAGGGAAGTGCTGACCTTGCTTACTTGTTGTTATTGCTTACTTCTTGCTTCTGTTATCAAGAAAGAGTCACACCTGCTGATAACAGGAAACTCGTAGCCTTCCCACAAGGGACATGTGATCAGCCAAAGAATGTTTGTGGTTTTGGAAAAGAACAAGATGCTCAGGCTCATGGTCAATATGTTCGGATAATCTTCTCTTCTAAGAAATGACCAGGAAAAATGATTTTTTTCTGTACTCTGTGGACCTATATAAGTTTCTGTCCCACCTGCATTCTGGGTACAGCTCTGTTTGAAAGTACCCCTGGGTGCTTTGGCTGTACCTGCGCGCATAATAAACAGCTGTTGACTCTCCTTCCTGATTCTCTGGTGGTCTGTCTCAGAATTCCCGCTACAGTTTGTATATTTTATTATACTTTCATTCTACCCCCTCATCTAAATAGTTCAGAAAGCATAATATTACAAAGCCAAAGAAAGAAAAAGAGAACCTGAAATATAAAGCTGAATATATCTGGCATAATGGTGATATTAAACAGCGAAAGAAGAAATCATATTGTCAAGGGACAGAG